CGTCATTCGTGATACCGATTTTTAAGCGCGCTACTATGATCCACAAGTCTGCAATTACGGCACGTCCTACTGCGAGGAATGGAGTGATTTGAAAAAATTCCTGCTCTGCTGTTGTTTTTGGTACTAGCTCTGTCATCTAGCGGCCTAAGCATTCGAGAAAAAAGTGGATGGAGTGGTCTAGTTCAGCAGAAAATGAAACCAGGCTCTTATGGTGTGTCCCGATAATTTCAATAGCAAATCACAGTAACACGCCAGAATTGGATTTTGTTTCTTTCAGCATTATTAATCTTATCGCTCATTATCACGTTGTATCACATTGTATCACAACCGCTGCTAGACCCAAGACCTATTTTGAAGGCTCAGTCACGATTAGCTGAGTGGAATAAGGCACGTGCAAGTAAGGTGGGCCGGTCCACAAGCTCAAGAAATGGTCGATTACGCGTATCGAACTTGCCTGGTGTGGACGCTAGGGGCTTACAATGAGAACTTTGGAACACTCATTACGCCAAGATTCACTTTAAAAGAATGTGTCTGACGAGTGGTTGGATGTCTGCGTCTCGCTGGTCCATTTGCTCTTTTCTCTCATCGATGCCTGCTCCCTCTGGTAGCCCAGTTTTACTCCACTTAATCTTTTCCCGCTTCAAAGAAACTTCAAAACAGCGGTCTTTAGTCACAAAGTCGCTTGATGTCACCTACCACTTCTCACTTTTTTACAGTTTTCTTGCACTGTCGCTTCATGTCGTAGAGGGTAACGCAGTAGGTGATAGCTACGTACCCTCACGTACCAATAATGACTCCATTCCGTGAGCAGATAGTCATAATAGTACTTTATTTATTCAGAAAAACCAACATACCGACCTGAACACCATATAGACCACAAGGTAGTCCTGCTCACAACTCAACGCGGTCTCTAGCCTTTATCGCGCATGGATGGGATCAATCCTAGCGCTGGTACTTTTCCAGAAACTCGACGCTGGGGTGAATGGGGGCGGGAAGAGCAGAATAATGTCAGTGCTAAGATAATGCTTACTACAATGAAAAATACTTAGCCGGGTAAAAGAAAGATGGGAATTAAAAAATATTGGGGGAGGGGAAATTGGGAAGTGTGCACGTTTTCGAATGTGCAGGATGTTGTCTGCAAATGTTTGCAAGGGTAGCGAAAGTGGGGCAATCGGAAATGGGTGACTAGCGAAGGAAATGAAATGGCCCGAACAGGGTTATTCTTGTAAAAATTACTTCCTTGTTCCCAAATGCCATTGTTCCCCTCTCTACATCCAATAGCCGACCTGTTGAACCTGATCTGCTATTGACGGCCTTACCATTAGTCGTTCTGCTGTAGTCCTATTTGCTCACTTGTCTGCGCAACTGGACTATTATCGAAGGTTCAAAGAGGGTACCCGGCAGCAGTAAATTATGGGTGCTGTGTGCGACAAAATTCGCGGCATTTAGTCGCAATCGTTTACCCTGCCTCAAAATGCCGTTCTCGTCAGCGCTCTTCAGAGCGCGCCCTTAATTCGTCTGCGCTCTGATCAGGACCATAGCAAAAAGGGGTTGTTGCAGGTCTGCCACGAAAGCGCAGGAGATAGGAGCAAAAAGGCACAATGTCCTAACTCAGCAACATCATGGCAATAACAGAGGATTGACGTGGTTTCAATGGCTCAGGCTAAACTGTGTCACGCAGAAGCATGGCGCGTACTTTCCCCATATTCCCCATACGGAAAGAAAATCGATGAGTAGCTAGTGCATTAAGTTAAGAGTTGGGGTCCCGCACAACTATCGCAATGACGTCAACGGGTTCCCAGCGATAGAGACAAGGAAGTGCGAATTCTCACTTTAGCCCCGCCCACCTCGATGCGTGCCCCGCCCACTGGGGGGCCTCCAACCAGAAAAGTCGTTCAACACATGCCATACTTTCAGAATGATTCCTTGGTAGGAGCGACATAGAAATAGTAACCTTAGAGAACAGGCCCTCAAGATTCCAAAAGCACGAATTATTTTTCCAAGGAAGTAAAAATTTTGCAATTTCAATTTCCTGCACACATTTGCTTAAATGAATGCCTTTGAAAAATTTTGTCCAGTGAAAAACCCTAGACATAAATGCATATGAACATATATGAATAAGACACCACGAATACGAAGAATGAGCATCAAAAATTTGTCTCCAAGGGGACACGACAAGCCACAACTTCTACGCCCTTTTAGACATTCCATGGCCGCCCAAGAAAACAATTACTCCTCATTCTATATTCACGTAGCTACTCCATATAAGCTAGAAACAACCGGCAAACAAGTGAATGAACAACAAACAACGGAAACAAGCTGAGCGTTTCTGTTCTGAACGACATCCGAAAGAGTTTGGCTTCTTATCCTGTTCTCTAAGTGTGGCTACGCGTACACTCACGTTTTTCCGAAGTTTACGGGCAGTTGTAAAAGAGTATTGGTTCGAATCATATCAGGAGTTTTGAGTTTTGCTCCCCGATCTCAGCATTTGGATTTTCTCCATCTTTAGTCTTCATCCGTTTTTTCGGCCTCAACAACGTCCTCGCTCAGAAGTAGTGGTTTGTGTCTCCCAGGAGACTCATTCACTCAGAGCGGATGCTCTGCCATAGGGCGGGCTCCATCTCATCTCAGTTATACCTTACGCACCCACATCGTTAGTTGCTCTCTACAAGAATCCACCAGTGGAGCTGGACCTACATACTATACGCCGTGCCTCTCAACGAGTTGTCTTACGTGGCAGTGGCCAACCGATAACACTTGTATAAGTGAAGCGTAGCGTCGCGCTGACTCAAAATGAGTATAAAAGAATTCACACGTCGTGGATGGAAGGTCTAGGGTGAGAGCTTAGAATTGACTGGACGCATTCAAGCCCGTGAAGGCATGGGCCGCCTGATCTCAGTGCACGACAGAGAGAACATCGTCAGCAAATGACGGTGAACTTTTTACACGTCATACACGCAGCTGTTGCAACCTTTACATGTCCGAAAACAGGAGATGGACAAGGAAAGTTGAAGAGTACACGCGTCCGGCTACAATTATCATGTCGTGAGTAAGGCGCAGTCCCCGGCAAGCATCACCTATTGGTCTCATTCGGTTTAGTTTTCTACCCACATATCCATTTCCATATCGATTCTCACGAGATTTTATCGCGTTCACTATCCTTGGAAGGAGAACTGGATGGCGCTGACCGAGAGCTGGCAAGACAAGTTAGACACCGGTCACATTTAAGAAAAGATGCGTTATTAGTGAAGGTACTAGGAGCGGTCGTTCGATGCCATGCCGACAAGGTGCGGGAGAACGATTACGTCTCCCCTCTAGCAGTCAGGTCACCTAACTGCGCATTCATAAGTCTTAGAGTGAAGTTGGGTTTTGGTCTTACGCTCCCGGGTTATCTTACACCTTGGCTTGGGCTTAGGTCTATGAGTGGGCCTGGGCTTAGCCTCTCGTCTTTCCCCTGTGTCTTTATTTCGTCAATCCCAACTCACTGATGAGCTCCGGGGATTGGCGAAATAATAAGGTTCGTCTGAGGAAGGAGCGAAACGAACCGTATCAATTATTTTGTTTATAATGGTTTTTCTTTCTTAATTAGTCTCATGCTGTGCTTCGAGCAAATGAGTGGTATCTCATCTGGCCTAAGAGGAGAAGTGCAACGGCACCCCATGGCCAAATGCCGACTCTACCAATGACGTGTACAACGCGTTTCCGCCTTTCAGCTAGCTCACCGCTGCCTTTAAATGCTCTTGGCCCGATGCCATGTGAACGCAACGTCAACCTATGCGATGACGACCAATCTGGGTACGTGAGTCCAAAGGCTGCGTTGCAGTTTCTAGGACGACTGGGTGACCAAAGTGAAGGGCTCATTTTTCTATTGTTTTCTGCAAGCAAATCGTCAGACATTAGCGCCACAGTACTCCTACAGTACCCAGACGTGAGAGCACTGTGCATACACCAAAAAATTCTAAGAAACTCTAACACCGGCGATAAATATTCTTTTTCAAATTTGTTCACTCATTGGCCTTTTCGACGATAAAAACTGGGCCACCTTCGATTGCTTACGCGTTTCGGTTAATGTCGTCCTTAATGAATTAATGAATATAAAGTATTCAGAATCATCACATGCGACTGCTACCGTAATATATACCGCTACTGTCATCGTCTCCTTAGCTCTAGTATTCCGGCCTCGAATATAAACGAACGCCAAGCCGACACAGGAAAAGCAGTTCTGACCTCTCACTAGCTGCGATTCCACAGGTAATCAATAAATCGATAAAGGTAGCTGAGTTGCAGTAGTGAGACGATTCCCTAGCAGTTTTGTCCCAAACCGCACCAATGCTACAGATTACGTTGCGCACCGATTGAGTAAACTACCGTACCGATCGATCCCTATTCTCTGTACTAGATTTTAGATCTTTGTTCCGAAGAGGAGTTATTCTCATAGAGGTTTTGCTTTCGGGCTGTTTGTAACATAACCTGAGCTACAGTTTAGAAGGGCTCTCGCATAGTCGGAGGTACGGTAGCTACCGTAAGCGGTATGGGAAAGAATCCTGAATGAGGGAAATCGAAATGACAGCACTTCATGAGAGACAGCAAAATCGGTACTGAGAAAAATCGATAAATAAACGCAGACAACAGTTCGATAATAACGCCTCATCAGTTACAGTAATGGAAAGAGAAGAAATATCATAAAGAGGAAAAGTTATGCCACCCATTGCCTAAACATCCTCATTAACCTTTGGAACATTGCCAAGTCGCTTCCGGCAGACGAACGTGCCCTCCTGGAGCCAGTGTTATCTACAAATATAGGGCAAACCTCATCGATCGACCAATCGATGGGCCTAACTCATTTACAGTGTCATAGACGCCTCATCAACCGTTCCTTATAGTACAGTGTTCAATTGTTGTCTGAGAAATCCTTTTGAATCAACTGCATCACTTTCAGATCAATCAATACATATCAGTTCCACGTGTCCAGGATTCCTTAGGAATCATCGCCTTTTCCGATGATGATGCGTTATACTACGGATTTTCTTTTTATACCACCACCAATATCAGGACTGACATTCCCACCAACACCAGATTTACCATTTGCTGGTGAGTTTCCCACTTGTTTTGTTTACTTTACCATTTTGTAAACCATCCAGTACCTCTTCAATTATTCGCTAGTTATATAGATTGATTTCACAGGTACATCTACAATAAATACAATAATCATTACCAAAAAACTCTATACACCTGAAATATTTAGTTATAGAAAAAGTTTACCCTAAATTACAGATAAAATTTATAAATTTAACCTTGCGTAAAGCCCCTGAAAAATTCAAAAAATAACTAGTAACCAAACAAATATTATAAGTCGACTTTTCATGGTGGAGTGTATAAAGTTTTTTTTTAATGGATCTTAATAAAAGCACAAATTATTTTGCTACCTACTATACTACCAGTATCTGTTAGTTTCTATGTAGGTCTTTGGTTTGATCTATGAAGTCACCTTGACCTAAGGTCAGCCATCCATCTGGTCGTGCTAGAGGGGGAGAGGGGGTACTTTTTTGATTTGATGCGTTTGGTAAAGTGACACCGGTAAAAGAGAAAAAGAATTTTTTGGAAATCGCGGTAATCCATTTGAGATCAAAAATTTCGGTAAAATCGTATTTTTGTAAATTTTAACGTTCAAATGGATGGACAGCCTTGACCTCTTGCGTTACTAATGAGTGGGAGTCAGAAGTTGTTTTACGTAGTTACTATTCCGATACCAGAACGGTTATCTGATTCATAAACCACTAGAAAGAGGGAGGTTGAGAGGGAGGGTCGGTTGTCATTACTTAGCATTTAGGACTCTACATTAAAGGCAAGGTCCAGGATTTCTGGTCAAAGTTAGGCCTTCCCCCGAAAAAAACACGCTGCTGCAAAAACGGGGAGCATCTACATAACCTTCGGGCATGATTCGAACAGTTCGAGGAGCAAGGGCTATAGGCATTGCGCATTAAATCCGCCTACAAAACGTGACTCCTGCACAGCGCAGTGTTTTTCATCGCATTACTAAAGACGGAGGTTATTTATTTTGTCAGTTGATCGTGGGAGTTTGCCTTTAGCAATTCTCATATCGTCTTTTGGCACTGTTACCTGTCCCGAGATCAAATCTTCACTCTACCCACTCCACAACGGAAATCGTCGCACCTGAGGTTTTCACTTTAGCGTGGAGGGAACCTTCCTTCATCAAAATAGCTGCATCCAAAGCTCCCACTAATTTTTCCCTTTGTGGAATTCACTTTGACCTCCTTCCAGATGAGCTATACCGTGGCCTAAGTTATTCGTCATTTATAGGAACTGAAATAAAAAGATAGTGGATTTGCATTGCGACCGCACGCTTAGTTGTCATCTATTGCGCACTATTCTCTTACAACGGCCGTACTACCTATTTGACCATAATCCCTCATCAGTTGGGAAAGATAATTTTGGTGTCTTTCAGGTCCAACAAGTCGCCTCAGCCAGTCACTGCTTCATCTGCACGTTGTCGGCTCAACGCCCCAATTCACCCCGATCAGCGTTGGCGGAAGTCCAATCATCTCCAATTGGATGTGCCATTTTCAACCACAGAAATCCCTGACGAGTGATCTCGACACGAAATCCCTCGTTAAGATATTGAGGGACATGCGTCTCACTGAAGAACAATTGGTAACCAATAGGTATCGATTATCTGATATCGATTACTTGGAAGAAAACTCGAGTCACTGAATTTTCTCACGCTCAGTTTCCCACGGTGGAAAAACGACGACAGAACGGCAGCTGTCGTGGAGCCGAGCTTCTTCGACACTATTAGTGGACGGAGAGAATTCATTCCAGACGATGGTAAGTAATTTAGTCAATTTCATACCTGTTATTTTTCATTTCATATTTATTTACATTTATTTACTATTGCACATTTTAATTTTATTTATTTATATTTACACATATTTCATATTTTTCATTTCATAGTCAATTTCATATCTTTATACGATTTACTTAATTTGGATTTTTTTAAAGTATTTGGATTTTTTTATTGGTTTTGAGATTTGTTATTGTATGATTTTGTCAGTCTCATTTTCGGCCAATTTTTAGAGGTTGTAATTTTTTTCGATATTGACTGTTTTTGCGCGGGATTTATTATTTGACCATAATATGATTTCATCGTTGAAGGAAAATTTCATCGCATTTAATGTCATAGAATTTTGTGTGACATATTTCAAATTACTGATATTGATATTTTCGTCTTTAATTTTAATAATGTTTAAAATTTATTCAAGATGTATTGATATGTTTTCATTCGAAGATGTATTTTTTATATTTTTTTCACCATATTCGAACTTCTGGTTATTTCCTTCACTTCATCATTGATTTCAATCAGTTTTCAGACACGCGTCGCAGATGCGTGCGCTGCCACGCCCCCTATCGATTGCCGGTAGACGGTAGAAAACGGGTCGACTTCTGCATACACCACACAGAACCGGCAGTGTTCTCATCAGGTCTTCATAGAGAATAAAAGAAAAACTAAAGATTGGTTTTATTTAAGAACAAGAGAAATATATGTTGAAGCATCAGCACTCGTGGGAAATAGGACGAACTCATAGGATGTTTTATAGTCCCAAGAATTTCTGCAGGTTGAGTACGTAGAAAGAAGTCACGGCGCGAGCACAGTCTGTGCGTGCCGCGCGCTGACGGGACAATTGGTCCTCAACCTTTGCACACACGGGCTGTTTCGTAGTGTTTGTTTCCTAACACTATTGCTGAGCGAGCAATTGCATACAATGTGAGGCATCGCGTATTCGCCTCTTGAGACCGTGCGACTAATTTTAAGCAAATGCCATACCTGGAAAGTTGATTCGCTGCTCCTAATCAATTGCTATGTTTCTCACCAGAGCTAATTTCTGGCCCCGCAAACGCTTGTGAAACTTTTGGCAGTAATTTCTACCCGGACAAAAATCACTTATCAGCCTTAGATGGAACGCCAGAAAAAATCTCCGGGTTATGCTGCATTGTAGACAGCGTATGCTGCTAACACGCCGCTGTGATTGGTTGCACACACGAGCAGCCAATCACAGACGCAGCCCGTGTCTCAGAGATTGCTCCTGCCGTTCCATCTCATCGTCAGCAGATAAAAGTCAGACACCACCCTTGAACAAGTTCATGTTATTCAAGCGTCTATTTCAAAGTGGCCTTGTGATAGCAATTAGACCATTGAAAATTCAGACAGAAGGTTTCATCCGTGCTGTGGACGAGCCCAGGGAGTGGCTGGATGCCAGCATTCCGAGAACCATGTGACGGATACTATGCTGGAATCTGTTCTGCTTGAATTTCAAGCCGCTCCGAAGCCGTCCGGCCCATCAGATCCTCGATCCGATGCCGTGAGTATGGTTGACCTATTACACACCTCTTCTGATCTATAGGTGAAATTTTTGTTTCTAGTTCTACGCACTCGATTGCGAGTTTGTTTACACAACTGTTGGCAAAGAAGCAGCTCGAATTACGGTAGTGGACGGTTACGGTAATGAAGTGATGGATTGTGTGTTTCGACCGGAACACGAACTTATCGACCCGAATACACGATATTCGGGTTTAACAGTCGAGGATATTGAAAGCAGCGACAAGACTCTCAGTGATGTAAGTAAATAAACTTCTAATACTTCTCAAAATAAATAAAAAAAAGTGGAAACATATGGGAACTGCACTAGATCCACCGAGAAAGGTGCCCGCTGGATAAGCCTAAAGAAAGAACGCGTTTCCTATACAACCACTGGGTGACGAACCCCTTAGTCGCTGTGGTAGATTCTCGCACTGTCGCAATAATTGAATACACGCGTGCGTTAGCGTCGCGGTCGTCACTTTCTGATACGTTGAAACTTAATTTTTTGATGAACAGGGTGAAGAAAAAAGGAGAGAAAGTGAGGCAAGACTTCTTATAAAAACATGAGGATCAATCAGTAATGTTCTCTTAATGCGCAGCTAACTATTCATTATTACCAGGAAGCCTATTACGCCCATTCCCAACCTCATATCAATAACTGAGGCCCATTGAGGCTTCACATGCGAATTTCTACTACGAATAAGCGAAAAATTTGAGAGGCACGAGAAAATGAAAGAAAAATACAACGTCTACTTTATCTGTAAAATGTGTACTCATCGGTACAGTTTTATATAAACCTAATTATTTGAGTACACCTCGGGCCTGATGTAAACTTGCTCAGACACGACCCTTACTTTTAGGGGAATTTGTTCTGGCATACACCTGAACCTTCCTATCTAATCTCACCTCCCACTCATCACAGCACCTCACAACTTCTTAAAGGCAAGATTCGGGATAAAAAGAGGTGTGGAAAAGCGTTCAGTTATGAAGCTATAGGTGGAGAGGTGGTCTGTAAAAGAGAAGGAAAGCAAACGAAACCACCGATTACGCCCCGTACAGAGACCTCCCCTATTTCAGCCACATTCCACCTTGGGATAGAGAAGAGGCGAATTGGACGAGTTTCACGAACCTAACTCTACTTGCTCCAGTGCCAATGACATTGGATCCCGATGGGACCGCTGCCTCAAATGCGCCCGCGCTTTTCAAGCAGCGCCACGTGGCAACCGACAGCGAAGGGTGGGGCTTGCGGACGAAGGTGTGAGTTGCGGGTTGGACGAGCTCCTTGCGCCTTTGTCGCGTACTTTCAAGCCGCAAAAGGGGCCCGACATCACCACTTTCCACACCTGCGCTGTCCGGCCCGGGGTGGACAGAGCGAGCGCCTGAATCGCGTACCGTGCCTTAACACATTCACGACGACGCCCCTTTTCCACTTTTCGGTCGCGTGGGACGGACGCGATTTTGTGGGCGCCGCCGCCTCACCACATAACCGCAGATTTTGTTTTGTAAATGAACAAAAACATGAATGTCACAAAATAATTTCTGCAATGTCCAATGCGTAAAGATTATCTAAACATATAACAGTAGGATTTCGATCAGAACGACAAATAGTGGTTACGAAAAGAGAGCATTTATTCACTTTCCCCGTGAAGGAATTAAAAGCATTTTACACTCGATTACGAGGTTTGCCCGCCTATCTGTCCCAATTCCTGGCGCCTGGCAAGCGATTAACAGTTGGCAGCCCAATTAGATGGCGGCCAATGCGGCGTGTATGTGTTAAACCAATGATTTCACGATACAACGGGCAGCGCCAGTCGTGTTAGAGAACTAAGAGGAAAACGCTCGAATCCCAAGCAAGACAATGAAAATTCTATCACTGTATTCTCCCGATCAACACCGATAAGTTCTACGCAATTAGCTTCTTCTGTTCCTTATGTTTTCCTTCAAAAAAAAAAGCCAAACAGGTTCCGCAGCATGAAAGCTTAGTGAAAGAATGAAGTATGACTGACCTCCCACCTCTATTTTGAGTCCAGAAGTAGTCCATGAAAATTTGTGCCGGTATCCCATCGCATTTGTTGCGCCAACTGAAGTCATAATTGTGCAAATGTCGTGGTGTTGTTCCCATAACCAAGTAATTCCTGTGAATGAATCGCCAGATAAAGAAGAAAAAAGGAAAGAAAATGAAAGAAGTCAAGATTACTGTTAATAAGTTTAAAACTGAATTCACCTCTGCACATATTCAGCGCTAATTAAGGAAGATCACTAAGGAATTGTTCTGGAGAAGACCAATGAAGATCATCACGTCGTGAAAGAGGACGTGATGATATCCTGAATGCTTGTGTTTTGTAAATAGAATAGCTCTTAAAAATAAACAGAACAAGCAAGAAGAAATAGTAACAGTATGTATTCGAGCCAAAATCACTAAAAAAAAACGGTTACAGGGCCACTGGATTGTGGTTGCGCGTCGAAAATTGGCAATTATAGAGACTACCGATTTGGAAGCTTAGTGCATAGTTCTGTATGAACAGCATAGGATGAGAACTACGCTGTTAAGGGCCTAATGTTCAGTTTAAATAGAAAATGAAGTTCCGCAACTGGACGATGTGTTGGTGTGGGGTCTGGTCAATAAGATGGAATCAGGTGGTCAAAGCGAGGGAGAAGATCAAAACAGCAAGCAACCAATCTACGCCATTTGCTTCTCAAAAACCACAGACATAAACTTCACTTAAAAAAGCCTTAAGGACAACGATAAGCTACCCACCAGTAATACGGCCAAAGATGACAAATTCAAAGGTTTTCTTATATGTAGCTAGATAGGAAAAGGGTGACCTGCAGAGACAGGCATCTTACTTGTTTCGTCCTAACTTGTATTTCGTTTTTAAATTTTCACTCCTGGAAATTGGCTCATACAAGGAACATCTCCGCTTCTCCGGATTGGGTTTTGAGAATAGGCGGGGCATTTCTTTGAATGGACGGTCGGGCTCCTCCAAATTATGGAATAGAGCGTTTTAGAGCAGGCACCTTTGTTCTTACATTTAGCTTCGCTTCATAGAATCCAGTACAGGTAGAGCTTAACGCAGTGTCTTATTCTGAGTTACGTAAGGGCCTATTCTGCGATCGCTTAAGTGTGGGTCGTTGCGCTCGAAAGAAAGTAGCTGTGGTAATTAACCGCTACTGGGTAGAAACGGAGCTGCGCTAAAATCCTGAAACCTAGTTCATCGTGTAGGCGGAGACAGACGCACCTTCTCATTGGCTGGCCCAGGGAGTTGACCATTGAGAAAGCCTCAATGTCCGCTCATACTGTCAAACATTGGTTTCGAAAGCTTATACCTATGAGTGCCTTTCTGTTCAGATTCGTGAAATTCTCTTCGAAATGATCAACTCTGAAACGTTGCTAATTGGACATGCTCTTGAAAACGACTTGAAAGCGCTACGAATTGTCCATGACAATGTGATCGACACTTCAGTCCTGTTCTCGTAAGTCTTTTGTGTTCTTAAAAAGTGAACGTTTGGGCTAAACGTTTCTAGTGTCCGGGAATTTGACCACATCTGCTAGGCTCTACGACCTCATTTTTGGGCTCAACATGTATTTTCTAATTTCTAAAATTATTGAACGAAATCGTGAACAAGCTCTACTTCACTGAGACCAGATGGCTAACCGTCTGCGCTGCCCTGGCCTCTACCTAAGTTCTTTCTTAGTAATCTCTAGTAGATAACCCGTGCAGGTTTCTACCTATTCCAAAATGGAAAAGCCAGGATTTAACGTTGCAAGGTTTTCGTTTCAACAGTGAAAGTAGCATATCAGGTTCAGCTATAACATTCCTTTCAGACGCTCAAGTGCAGAGGGACGGTGTTTCAAGCAAAGCCTGAAGTCGCTAGCCCGGGAACAACTCGACATGGAAATTCAATCAGGTGAGTTAGCCATATTGACGAATTAATACGGCAGGATGTCTAGAAATAGGGGAAGGAAAAGTTTCACATATATCTCACAGAGAGCTCCACCCACTTTTTTAGTCCATTATTATTGATTTTTTTGAGGAGTGCATTTGCTTGGATGGTGTGATGAAAAATATACTTAAGAATTGCGGACGGAGCCCTGTTACATAGCAATCCGATCACCGTTGTAATCGGGGATTCGAAACCGGTCTACCGGCCTAGAACACTTATACGCAGTGATCACGATGGCTGGAGGGCGGTGCAGTTTTGATGACCCGACTAAACATCATTGGTGGACTCGACACCTCACCGCACTGCCGCTGTGGTTGGTGCCGTCTCAAGAGGCCCTTCCACCAATCAGGTCGACTAACGTCATCAAAACCGTCATCAGCCAGACCACCAGCCATCATGAGCGCTGCCTTCAATTTTTGCGCTAACAGGACAACTGGGAAAAGCATCAAGAGCTCACTAGATGCCTAAATTCTTGTAATATGGAAAGCTGCTCCACTCAAGAACGCGTGAACTGTAGGCCGCTCTCTTAGTCATCCCAGCTGTGTAAGACACCTTTCGGGCTTATTATCTTCGAAGTCTTGGAAGGTAGTCGAAAATTTTGGAACGATTTCCGATTTCCGTGAACTATGGGACTATCACAGAACCGCCCATTCGCAAGCAGCTAGACCGACATTAGTGCTCTCCTAAACTATCGCTTAGATAGTGTTCACAGTTGGC